GAGAGTGACTTGTAAAGTGAACCCTCTTGGGCTGATACTTCTTTAGCTCCCATTGATGGGACTAGTTCCTCAACACTGTGTCATCCAGAGGCCTTGGTCTGAGTCCCACAGTTAGGCTCAGCACACTCTGAAAACAGACTTCCTCTGAAAGATAAATATGTCCTACTTTGATCCTCTGTGAACAATGACTAACTATTAGTATCTACATCTGTGTGAGTGTGGTCTTCACCTACAGGATTTGACCAAAAAAACCCCCAAAAAACTCCTGAATTTATCAAATTTAAGATGACATTGACTGTAAGATGACCACTGTTTTACATAGCACTAAGAGAAGAAAATGCTGCCATTACACTATGAAATTGATTGTAAGACGCGTCCTGGGCCCGGAGAGCTCCCAGGAGCCAGCACCTGGCTTGTCGTGTCACCACCAGACCCTGTCTGTAGACAAGAGCTGGGCGCGGGCTGAGCTCAGGAAGCGTTTCTCAAACGGGAAGGGGAGGCAGAGGTTGAGGGCGCCCATTCGTTACCCCAGGAATAACGAATGGCCTACATGGTGTGAAGATTTCTGGACATTAGGGATGAAGATCCTGGACGTTTCTGGACTTGGGGGAGGGACATGGCTGTATACAAGGATTGGACGTCCGAGACTCATCAAACCCTCAAAATCATCAAGACGATGAATCTAGTGCTCTCTGTCCGACCAAACTACTCCTTACGTGTGAGGATAGAGAAAGGCGTTCAGGGTCACTGACAGTCTCACCAGGGGCCCCGGGGCGGCTCAGTCTGTTGAGCGTCTTGATCTCGGCTCGGGTCGTGATCTCACGGTTCGTGGGTTCGAGCCCCACAAAATGCTGCCATTACACTATGAAATTGATTGTAAGACTCATCTCATGGAGCTTATACATATGTGCTTTAACGGAGGTCTTAGAGTCAGGTTGGAAGAAGAGCTTTTGATCACCGCCTGCTTTCCTTACACTATTCACAGAAAAACAGAGAAAGAAAAACATGTGAAAACTTCAGAGAAAGTTTGTGTCCAGAATATATCACAAAGGACAAGGGAAGAGGGGGACTCGGTAAGGAGCCAGATGATGGCAGGGGGAAGGGGAACAGGCAGATTAGGAACTCTCAGAAACATGACAAAATGACTAAGGGATCATTCATTCATAAATATTAATGGAGCAATTAGTATGTTCCAGGCATCCTACTGGGGAAGAAGGATATTATTGTGAATAAAATCAGATAGAATCCTTCCACCTAGGAAACATACTGTCTTGTGGTTCAGACAGAGTTGATAACACAAGTATAGATAGGGATGTCTGTTTACAAACAGAAATAGGAGATATAAAGGAAAGAAACAGGATCTAGGAGCACATATAGGAAAAAAGAGCCGGCCTAAATTGGAGGGCACCAAGAACACATTCCTTAGGAATTAGTTTTTGAATAGATATTTGGAAGTCATGGAGGCAGCAGCATGAGTGTGTTCAGAGTCAGAGGGTACAGCATATGAGAAAGAACTTCTAGAAACTGAAAAAATACCACTCTGGAAGCATAAAGATGGAAAGCCAGAGAAGTATAAGGCAGAAGTCATGTTATACAGGCAACTGAATATTAGCAAGATAGGCTGAGGAGGAAGTAGCATTGTGCATGAAAGCAGACAAAGCTATTGTGAGGTCTGATTAAATGCCATGCAATGGTGATGGAGATCAAGAAGACTGATAGGTTCAAGTGATTTTTAGAGAGTAAAAAAGTCAACAGCTTGTGCTGATAAAACTGGGTATGAATGTTAAGGGAGAAGAAGTAGTTAGGATGTTGTTAGGTATTCTAACTTTGTACAACTGGAAGGTGTCATTCACCAAGTCTGAGAACAGAGGAAGAAGCTCTCTTTGGGAAGAGATGGGCAGATGAGGGTGTGGTGTGAATATCATGAGTCTTGCCTCAAATGCAGTGAGTTTGAGATGCCTTAAGGAGATCAAAGTGGAAATGCTCTCCAAGCAATTGGATATGTGAGTATGAAGCTCAAAGGAGAATCTCAGCCAGAAAAAGGTCTAAGAACACTAAGGACTCCAGACTGATATCCAACTGGCTAGTGGGGTGAAAAGGGCCTTGGACTTCTCCTATTTCCTTAACTCAGTACCTAGTACATCTATTCTCATCCTATAGGCTCTCTCTAACACTTTGAGCTGGGAGAATCTTCCCTTCTATTGCAACTGGAAGAACTATCAAGATGCCCCAAGTTTCAATATGTTTTTCAAAGAAACACGGTATTTTGGTTATTGAGCCAGTACTGTATTTTGTATTTACCAGTAGAAAACATTTGTGCATGTGTAAGGGGGTGGGGTGGGGTTCAGGCAGCTAACCATGATTAATTAAAGAAGATTTCTTCTGAGTTCCAATAGCCCTCTAACATATGAAGTTTGGGAATATAAATGTAGTATAATCCATCTACAAGCTTGGGGATTACCTATATTGTAGTTCTAAAACAACAGAATATTATAATTAGAGCAAGTGAAAGCACTCATATGCATTTAAAAATATTAAGTTGCTCAGTTCAGCAACTTAGTAAGGATGATCTTATGAGCCTGTGTTTCCTATTGTATGAATACGTCTGTTATGCAGAACTTTTGCACAAATTAGAAATTTATTAACATGCCTAAAAGTATTTAGAACACAGTAAATGCTATTATTAATAAAAATATTAAAAATAAAAATTGCATCGGGGTGCCTGGGTGGCTCAGTCCATTAGGCATCTGACTTTGGCTCAGGTCCTGACCTTGCAATCTGGGAGTTGGAGCCCTACATAGGGCTCTATGCTGACAGCTCAGGGCCTGGAGTCTGCTTCAGATTCTGTGTCTCCCTCTCTCTCTGCCCCACCCCCACTCACATTCTCCCTCTCTCTCTCAAAATAATAAATATTAAAAATATTTTTTAAATGAAATAAAATGGCATCAATTTGTATTTGCAGAATAAATGTGAATGTAACCCTCTATCTTGAGGAAGTATACAAAAATAAGTGTAAGCATTGCAAGTGTACTTATTCTTCTCTCTCTCCACCTTTATCTGTTTAGAGGGTTTTCTTCCTTTGGACTTGACCAGTTACTGTCAAGAACATTAATAACTCTGTGCTGCTCTCTAGTGGTAAATATAGAATATAGCCCATTAAATGACTACTTTTTGATAGCCTTCCAAACAATGAAATTCTAAGAAAAATCAAGTATGTAATTTCTCAGTTTGCTACCACTGATAGCAGATGAAATATCACTCAGCAGGCTGTCAATTTATTATTTTTAATTACAAATATATTTCATGGGAATAAAAAAGCACAAACTGATGGTTATCATAATAGCAAATTTTTATCACTTGTTAGATACCATGATCTATTATTGCAGTGTATGAAGTGTGGACTAAGAAATAACTCGGCTATAGTGAACACACACACACACACACACACACACACACACACCCCTCAACTAGTCATAAACATCTCAAGTCTTACAAGACTAATTTCATTTTTTGTTTGAATTTGTTAAACTTTAGCATTTAAGTATACTTTTATTTGGTTAATAATTTAAATTCAATAGCTAAAAGTCTGTATTATTATTATATATCCTAAATTTATTATATAACACTTACAACATAGTAAGTGTTTCCTATTATCTTGACAAGCTTGAAACAATGGAAATCATTTCTATTATTTTGGAAATTATTGGTGAAACTAATTTTTTTCCTAATAAGTGAAAAAAAATCCAGTTGCCTAGACAAACTGCTTGCTAAACAAGTGTTTGGAGTGAGGGTGGAGGTAAGGGCGGGACAATTTATTGAACCAAAACAACTAAAAGAACAATATGAATAAGCTTAATGTTAAAAGGATTCTTTCTCGTGCTCTATAACTTGATGTTAATGCAATCATTTTATTAAATTCTTCATATCCTATACCTCTCTGAAAAGGACTAGAGGCAGTTTTCAACCAAAGACAGATAAATCACATTAGTAAGACAAAAATGGGAAATGAAATTCAGGAGAAATGAAAATGGAAATATAGTAACTAGTTTGTTAACTAAGTTGCTGATATTGTACTTCAAATTTGGATCTGAGTATCCTAGCAACGAGAGCGAAAAGAAAATCATGATTTATATATTTCTTATAACAAAGAGGGGAGTAAGGCTTTCTATTTCGTAAAAAAAAAAAGAAAAAAGAAAAAAGAAAAGAAAAAAGATACTTCCTGGTCTTAAGTCTAAATCTAATTTCTCACGTGGGCAACTAATGAGTGATATAATTAACAAACTCAACAATAACTACCGCAAATTCAGAAATGAGCAGATTTTATATGCTGACTTTGTATACTTTACATTTAGGAGAGGCTAAATGAAGACAGTTCCAGCTTAAGTGATCTGACTTAATCCCAACTCAGAGCAGTGGAGAGATAACGTGTCTTCAAATACAATTTCTCACAACCAGACTTTGGATAAGAGTTAAATAGCACATAATTAAAAATATATAACCTTAACCTCTTTTAGTTAAAGAGTCTGAAATCTGGGGGCACCTGGGTGGCTCAGTTGGTTAAATGTCTGACTTCAGCTCAGGTCATGATCTCACTGTTTGTGAGTTGGAGCCCCGTTGGGCTCTTTGCTGACAGCTCAGAGCCTGGAGCCTGCTTCAGATTCAGAGTCTCCCTTCTCTCTCTGTCCCTTTCCTGCTCGCACTCTGTCTCTCTCTCTCTTTCAAAAATAAATAAACATTAACAAATTTTTTAAAAAATTAAAAAAATAAAAGAATCTGAAATTTGTCATTTTCCAATTTATTTCATATTTACTTCCTATTTAGTTGTTAGGTTAAAGCTCCTTGAAGGTAAAGGCCTATCTTCCAGTTCTTACAAGATCTTTTACTGAGAAACAGTCACCGTGGACATTCAATTAATACTAAAAAGTTACTGATGTAGTAGGAAAACAAACCTCACCACTAGTGGTTTTGGTTTTTTGGTGAAGTGTTATTTCTATTTTTACCTTATAACAGTCTCCTCCAGGAATGATTTCCTGAATATATACCAAGGGACCTTCATTCCGGTTAATTCCTCCAAGGATCTTCAGACCAAGGCCTGTTTCCTTGGTAACTTTAATCATCTGAAAGGCAGGATCCCTAAGATAAAATACATTAGCACTCACAGGTTAGCCTAGAGATCTATGCCCACTTTTTCTTCAAACTACTTGTTAAATCAAATTCTTAATCTAGATAACCCCAAATACTCAGTACATATCAGTAACAACACTTAGAAAAGTATGATGATAGGAAAACAATCAAATGGATTCTGTTATCTGTATTATTTATTTTTTCTATAAAAACAATCAAGCCATAGAAGAAATTACTGCAGTAATGCTTATTTCTCTGTGTATAATGAAGACAAATACCTTCAACATATAATTTAAATAAATTTAAAGATTTATTAAAGGTAATTGAACAGATTTTCCTTTAGCTTCTTAGACTACACTGAAGGATCCCAAAATTAAAGATTTTATTGAGTTAGGTAAGTAACTTCTTAAAAGATATGTTTGCAGCCACTTAAAGCAAAAGAAGTATGACCTTCATTTGAATCACAAAAAGAAAAGTTATCTTTTTAACTTTAGAAGAGTATTTTCTGATAGAAAGCACGTGCTCATTCATAAAAGAAGGAGGGGCACCTGGGTTGCTCAGTCGGTTAAGCGTCCAACTTCAGCTCAGGTCATGATCTTGCAGTTCATGAGTTTGAGCCCTGCATCAGGCTCTGTGCTGACAGCTTGGAGCCTGAAGCCTGCTTTAGATTCTCTGTCCCTACCCACTCTGACTCTGTCGCTCACTCTCTCTCAAAAATAAATAAATATTTTTAAAAATGTTTTTAAAAGAAAAGAAGGAACTGTGAAAAGAATTCTACAAAAAGTATACCCTCAAATTGTGTTTCTGAACACTCTAGTCAGAGCAGAGACTTATACTGGTCAAACAGGGCTTGAACCCAGTTTGAAATAAGGCTTAGGACTTCCTGCTTACATATGATGTACTGGGGTTGTGCTAAGCAATATACATATATTATGCCATTCAACTTAGTATGTATACAACTCCTAAGATCATTACCCTCATTTTTCTAAAAGCACCAAAATCTGGGAAAGTAAACTTGGTGGGCTAAGATTATAAATCCGGAGAACAGCAATAGAAGCCCAGTTTGCATTACTCTAGAGGCAAAATTTGGTGTCAGATATGCTTTGTGGTGGTATTAAAGCCAGTGAAGAATACTGGAGCTATCTTCACACATATCAAAAAACTGAAGGGGCGCTTGGGTGGCTCAGTCAGTTAAGCGTCTGACTTTGGCTCAGGTCATGATCTCATGGTTTGTGGGTTCAAGCCCCGCATCGTGCTCTGTGCTGACAGCTCAGAGCCTGGAGCTTGTTTCAGATTCTGTACCTTCCTCTCTCTCTGACCCTCCCCTGCTCAGGCTGTCTCTTTCTCTCTCAGAAATAAATAAAACATTAAAAAAATGAAAAAAAAAAAAACACCCTGAAACTGGTATTTAAAAAGTTGACCCGTATATTAACATATGATTACAGCTTTTAGAAAAAGCTTTCTTAGCTTCTGCCACAGAAATTCTAACTGTATCTTTAAGAAAGCATGTATTCAAAAGTTAAATAATAAAAAAGACAGAATGAAAAAAATGAAAATACAAAATAAAACCCCACAAAAGTCTCATAAGCCTCCCTGCTTTTGAATATTTTGTTCTCTACACAGGACATTGTTCACAGTCGCATTATACTGAATGAAGCTCTGGTGTTGGATGGCCTCTCTAGTTACTAGGGCAATGGTGGAATAGCTAGAAAAAGAGGCAGAAGGGACTAGGTCCACAATGTTTCACTGTTACAGTTTTCAGAAGCTCAACCCACTCTTGATGGAATATTAGGTTGTAAGGGCAGAAAGAAATGAAGCCTAGAAATGAGAGAGAGGAGGGGTAGAGGGAATTAAGGTATCTCATTAGGTACCCCCTAAAACCTCTTAAACCCTCCAAATGCAAATTTCCTTCAATGAGGACACACATAATCTCCACCATACTTTATTGCATCAGTAAAGGATCCCTCTTTTTATAATTGTCAACCGAAATTCTATATTTCATACAGCATTTACTTGCCAGGATCCTTGTGTGAAAACTCCCTTATGTTAAGAATTTATATTATTTTGGGGCGCCTGGGTGGCTCAGTCGGTTAGGCGTCCGACTTCAGCTCAGGTCATGATCTCATGGTTTGTGGGTTCGAGCCCCATGTCGGGCTCTGTGCTGACAGCTCGGAGCCTGGAGCCTGCTTCAGATTCTGCATCTTTCTCTCTCTGTCCCTCTCCCTCTTGTATTCTCTCTCTATATCTCAAAAATAAATAAATGTAAAAAAAAAATTAAAAAGAAAAGAATTTATATTATTTCCTTTTTTTAGCTATTAGAAATTAAGTTCTGCTGCTCCACTTTAATCACAGAGAATTACAAGTTAAAACTAGGCAGAGATATTGCTATTCGCCTATCAGGTCAACATAAAACTTAAAACTTTAAAAAAAATTTTTTAATGTCTATTTATTTTTAAGCGACAGAGTACAAGCAAGGAAAAGGAAGGGACAGAAAGGGGGATACAGAACCCAAAGCAAGCTCCAGGTTCTGAACTGACTGCCCAGAGGCTGATGTGGGGCTCGAACCCACCAGCCGTGAGGTCATGACCTGAGCCGAAATCTGACGTTTAACTGACTAAGCCACCCAGGTGCCCCAAAAGTTAAAACTTTGACAATCTACTCTGATGACAAGGCTGTGGAAAAAGAGGTATTTTTGTACTTTGTTGATAGGAATGCAAAACGGCCTAACTCCTAATGAAGGAATCTGGGAAACTCTAAATTTACCCTCTGATCCAGAAATCCCATGTCTAGGAATTTATCCCAAAGATACTCTGGCAAAAAATACAAAATGACGTGTATACTAGTTATTTATTTTGGCATAATTTGCAATCTTCAGAAATTGCAAATAATGGATGTCTATCAATGAGGTGCTTGCTGAATAAAGTCTGGTACCTTGACAGGATAGACTACTACATAGTTACAAAATGTACAAGGAAGACATTTATAGGCTGATATGAAGTGATCACCAGGAAAGAATTTTAAGTTAAAAAAAAAAAAGGCAAGATCAAAGAGTATATATAATATACTACCTTTTTATCAAGAATATTCTCTCAAGTGGAACGTGGGAGGTGGAGCCTGGATGCTGGGGCCATTTTGCCTCAGTCATACAATTCTTTCCCAGGGGCTTGATTTTGCCTTAAGTAGTTGGACAAAACTCCGTGCTGTCCCAGAAAGTAAAACTCTTCAGCACCAGAGCATAAAGCTCTGTGCATGGAGTTCTTTGCATACCACAGATGAGCCTGGCTGGTGACCCCTGGAGACTAGAGCTTTCCAGAGCTCTCAGAAGGCAGTGTCAGAGAAAGACATCCTGAGTTTAACCAGCCTGACACCCTTCTCCAGGGAAGACCTGTGAACCTGAGCTGAAGGGCTAATGTGCACGTGTTTACTATAACAGCTTTGAGGAAAAAAATATGACCATATATACACATACACACACATATGTATATATATAACATGTGTATGTATTTATATGTATATTATTTCCTTATCCAAAAAGAAGCACTGAAAAGGAGCCAAAAATAAAAATAGTTATCTACAGAAAGAAAGAGGGCACAGACTGAATGCAGGACAAGGACGACTTTTTCTGTGTGTTACAGTTTTGCAAAATGGACACGAGTTCTTCCCATCGCTGTCTGGATGCCCTTTGGAATGTGACTTTACTGTTCCTCCCATTAAAAATAAAGTCTATATCTATAACCCTTGAATTTGGATTTGGTTATCTGAATTGCATCAGCTGATGAGAGACCAGCACGTATAAGGGAAATAGACATTTGAAAAACACTTGGGCTTGTTGCTGGGAACCATTCCTCCATAATGTGAGAAAGCCTGAGCTAGCCTCCTGGAGGATGGGACCAGGAGAATGAGAGTCATCCAGACTTTGCAGACGATGCCCCAGAAATGTGAATGAGGCCATCCTATGCTATCCAGTACATACCAGAACAACTGCCGAGCCAACCCACCAAATCATAAGAAAAAATAAATGCTTGTTGTTTCAAGGCACTTTGGGTGGTTTGCTACTCAGCAAAAGTTAATCTTACATTATCTTATTTTTATACTTGGATCGTAAAATATTTTAGATATTCAAAAAATCAGATCAAATTTTTTAAAAAGCAATTTCTATAAAGAATTATAAAAAAGAATGCAGAATTTATCCCATACATTGATTGACATTGGAACGTAATTATTGATCAACTTCCTTAATTACTGCTACCTTAGACCAGCTGGCTATATAAAATTTTCAACCAAAAGCTCATTAACATTCTGCATATTTCAAACTATGTAGCCCAAAACATATTAAATTTAATTTGAAAGTTACTTTTCAAGTAGACTGGATGATACCACAGCAGATGTATTTTTATTCATGATTTTACCACAGGAGCCTTGGATTTAACTACTATGTATGAAGAACTTGATGAAGAGTCTAGAAATTCTTCTTTTCCTAAGAATAGAGAAATAGAAAACAAATTTTCATGCCTTATGAGTAATCAAATTTGATTTCAATTTTGCATAAAAACATTACATACACTTGGTATGTAAATGATATGCATCTATATAAACGTATTAGAGGTATTTTATATATTTTGGACTTATGATACTTTTAGTCATTGTCAATAATATCTAAGAAATAGACAGTTCTCCAGATAGATAAATAAATAGATAGATACAGCTATAGCTATAGGGCTACATCTACATCGTTATCTGTATCTATTTAAAATTGGCATTTTCTGGCAGAGGTGAACCACCCTAAGCTTTAGGTAACAATTATAGCTTCCACCGTTAATATGCTTAAAAATCACGTACTAATAAAAAATTGACAAATATCTCTTGTGAGAACAAAGCTAGAAAGCTTTTTTTAATGTTTTTTTTTTAATGTTTACTTACTTAGTTTTGAGAGGCACAGAGAGAAAGCGCACAAACAGGGGAAGGTCAGAGAGAGAGAGAGGAAGACACAGAATCAGAAGCAGGCTCCGGGCTCTGAGCTGTCAGCACCGAGTCTGACATGGGGCTCAAACCCATGAACCATGAGATCATGACCTGAGATGAAGTTGGATGATCAATCGACTGAGCAACCCAGGTGCCCCACGCTAGAAAGTTTATAGTCAGAATATCTTTAAGATAATTATACAATACACTGTTGAAAAAAACCAGAAATTCCTACTGTCTTACCAGCTATCTTGAGGGACTTCTTGGAGATCCTATATTAGTCTGATTCATATTACTCCACAAGCTCCTTAAATACTTTCCTGTGAAAAGAAAAAAAAAAAAATATATATATATATATATATGATTTTAATGTCTCATGTGGTTCCACTGTGAAAATTAAAAAGAATGGTGCAGTTTCATTTAATTAAAAAAGATGTATTTGAACAGAGGTTTACCATTTCTGCATAAGAAATATGGATAAAGTACAGAAACTTAAAAGACCTTAGGAACATTTAGCACAACCCTCTTACTAAGGAAATGAATAGCTAGATTAAGAAATTGTGTGCTTTCCCCACACAAGAGAGAAATAGTGGTTGTTTTTCTAGCTAGCATTCAGGGTTCAAAGTCTAGAGTGTGGACCTTGACATCAGGTAGACCTAGATTACAATTTGACCTTCTAGGCTTCTCCAAGACTTAGTTTCTTCATAGGTACATACAGTAACTACCTTGACTGTAGTGATGGTATTACAAATGATACACATGTCAAAACTTACCAATTTTCTCACTATAAAAATGTACTGTTTGCCATAAATCTATTATATCTTAATACAGCTAAATTTCTTATTCTTTTAATGTTTAATCATTTTTGAGAGCAAGAGAGACAGAGTGTGGGCGGGGGAGGGGCAGAGAGAGAGGGTGACACAGAATCTGAAACAGGCTCCAAGCTCAAGCTATCAGCACAGAGCCCAATGCGGGGCTCAATCCATGAACCCTGGAATCATGACTTGAGCCAAAGTCAGACCAACTAAGCCACCCAGGTGCCCCAATAAGGCTAAATTTTTTTTTTAATCTGATTTTCACTTAAAGTTGCCAGAGGGGCAGGGGCTGGTGGGGTGGCAGTAGAGATGGGCAAAATGGGTGAAGGGGAGTGGGAAATACAGGCTTCCAGTTATGAAATGAGTAAGTCACAGGAATGAAAAGTCCAGCAAAGAGAACATAGTTAATGATGTTAACATAGCATTGTATGGCGACGGAGGGCAGTTACACTTGTGGTGAACACAGCATAATGCATAGTTGTGGAGACACTACGTTGTATACTGAAACTAATGAAAAACATGTGTGTCAACTATACTTCATTTAAATTTTTTTTAATACAATTCTCTAAAAAAAAAAGAGGAAACCTTGGCATGTATCTTCCTTCCCTACAGAGAGCCCACTGTATCAGCTCATAATATACATGAGTAAATGGGAGAAAGCCATCAGATGAAATGTTCAAGTTTCTGGAAGACAAAAAACAGACAGTGAGGTGATAATGGATAAAAGAGAAGATGAAGATGAAAATTAGGGCAAGGCGGGGCGCCTGGGTGGCTTAGTGGGTTAAGCGTCCGACTTTCGCTTAGGTCATGATCTTGCGGTTCATGGGTTTGAGCCCCGCGTCGGGCTCTGTGCTGACTGCCAGCTCGGAGCCTGGAGCCTGTTTCAGTCTGTGACTCCCTCTCTCTCTCTGACCCTCCCCTGCTCATGCTGTCTCTCTCTCTCTCCTAGAAATAAAAAAAAAAAAAAAGAAAATTAGGGCAAGGCTTCTTAAATATTTTTGAGTTTGAGCATACACAGAGAAATCAGGAAGATGTGTACGCAGCACCAGGGTAAACAGAGGTGGCATGCTACATACCCCTTTGAGGAGCTGAGGGGAGGTCAGGAACTCAGCACACCAGTAACTGATTTGAAGCAAAATTCTGGCCTTGGAAACAGCTGGACGGAAATGCAGGAGGAACCTATCTTGCAGAATCCCAGGTAGGCTGAGGACTTGGAGACCCAAAGTTCTAGGGAGAGCAAAACTGAGGCACAGAACTAAATAAAATGAAGGGGATTATCCCAGCCCTTCAATAACCACTGAATGAGGAAGAAATCACAGATTCTGCTGTAAATAATCTGAATAGACCCTGAGGAAAGAGCGAAACACTTTCTGGGAACCTAACATAGTGTTGTTCCACTGGCCTGGGTGTTAAAATCCTGTTTCAACGTTCACAGTCCCTGTGGTAGCACGCAACAGGCACAGGGGCAGCATGATCAAAAGCAGCCGAGAAATGAAACCAAAGTGGCTAAGATCCCCATCTAGTGGTGATCTGTCTTAACTGGACACAGGGTCCCCAGGTGATGAAACATACCCAGGTCTAATGGCTATGTCACTGTGAAATTACACAACATATTTTATATTATGTTATACTTAACAAGGCATTTTAAAATATTTATATTTTAAAGTATTAAAATGAAGTTTAAGTATTTAAATTATTTTATTCACTTAACATGCCTGACAGTGTCCTAAGTGCTGGAGGTGAGATTAAATAAGCAGTCTCTCCCCACGGACAGTTAAATAAACAGTCATAGGGAGGGTGCTAAGTGCTCTGACAGTGCTGTGCACAGGGGGTTGGGGGAGCATGGGAGGGGCCAGCCTTCCCAGAATGTTGTCACCACTAATCACGCATATGGCCAGGCACCATGCTGGAGGATTTTATACTCCCTCAAAGGAGCCCCACAAGGCAGGTATTACATATTTGTATTCACACAAATGAAAATGTCACGGAAAAGCTATGTGACTTGTCCATGACCACAAGGCTAACCACTTCTAACCACTTATAAACTGAAATTTGAGTCCAATTTTGTCTAGCTCCAAACCCAGTAACTTTTTTTACTACGGCATGCTGGGAAACTGATATTTGTAGAAAAAAGTCATTCTCTGAAAAAACAGGAGTATTAACAGTAGTAATATGCTGTCTGTCTCTTCTTTCTTTTTTTTAATTAATTTATTTTGAAGGAGAGAGTGCGTGCGCGGGCACATACATGGGGGAGGGGCAGAGAAAGAATCCCAAGCAGGCTCCCAGGGGCGCTGTCAGTGCAGAGCCCAGATGCAGGGCTCATAATGAAGAACTGTGAGATAATGACCTGAGCAGAAATCAAGAGCCAGACACTTAACCAACTGAGCCACCTAGCTGCCCCTTTGCTGTCTCTTTATATGGAGAATATATTGTTGATTAAATATATTTATCAACAATAAATATACTAACAGAAATGTGTTTAATTTTATCCATCAAAACAGCATGCTTTTCTCTTTAAACAAACAAGGTATCTATTGTCATATCCTTAAATATCATATAATGCCTTTTCCTTCCCTCTCTTTTATTTATTCTCTACTCCTTCCTTTATAGAAGTTAGCAAGCCTCTCAGTCAACAGAGGTTCTCTAACGTTACAAACACACACACACACACACACACACACACACACACACACACAGCTTCACATTATTAATCAATGACACAGAAGGAAAACACTCTATTCTTTTACTAAAAATATATCCATTCAAGAAAAATATATTGTTTTTCTAGTTTAGTGACTAATAAGAGGGAAAATGTTAGGTCAGCCAGAACAGAGAAAGTGGAACACTGCAGGAAAGAATCTTGTTGTAAGCAATAAATCCATTCCAGAAATCTTAGAGTTTTACTTGATCAGAACAATTTTAATTCTATATAATTAGAAATCCCATGGGGCGCCTGGGTGGCTCAGTAGGTTAAACATTCAACTTTGGCTCAGGTCATGATCTCATAGCTTGTGAGTTCGAGCCCCGCATTGAGCTCTGTGCTGACAGCTCAAAGCCTGGAGCTAGCTTCAAATTCTCTCTCTCTCTCTCTCTCTCAAAAATAAATAAACCTAAACAAAAAAAGAAATCTCATGAAATAAAAAAATATGTCCATGATAAATGTTTGAATAACAGACTCAATAATTTATATTCCCAAAGAGACTGCATTCAATACTTTGTAAAACTAGTTCTTTTTACTAGACCAAAAATAGAGAAAATCAAAAGGCAAGGGATAAAAACATCTGGCAGAAAATATGGTAAATATTAACTTGATAAAATTGCAATGTTGAATGAATATTCATAATATTGATAACAGTATGTCTTTCAGTTTTTAAAAATAGCTAATATATTCCAGTGAGGTGTATGTAATGGATGTATATATCCATCCTATCTATCTCTGCACCATTTCCATATACTTAAGTACCCACTGCTTTTGTTTCTTGTGAATACTGTTTCCTTATGCATAAACAAATATGAATAAATATTGATTCCTTTGCTTTTGTTTTGATTAAGAAAGTAGCTACAATCAGGCACAAAGCATCCAGCTGTTAATGCTGTGCACAGTACACTCCCTGAGGGTATGGGTTATATATATGATATAAACAGGTCCTCTGGTGTATGCAATAGTTCTAAATACTGTAAGGACTGCTGTGCAACCTGTTTTTTTTAAATTTTTAAAAATGTTTATTCATTTTTGAGAGAGAGAGACAGGAGTGTGAGCAGGAGAAGGACAGAGAGAGGGAGACACACAATCCAAAGAGCATGGGTCAGCTCAGAGCCTGATGTGGGGCTCGAAATCACGAACCATAAGACCATGGCCTGAGCTGAAGTTGGACGCTTAACTGACTGAGCCACCCAGGTGCCCCCCACTTTTTATTTTTTTTAGTTTTTTTAAATTAACAAAGAACCTGGAATTATTTCCATATTTTTACAAAGGAAACAGTATTCACAAGAAACAAAATTCTTTTTTATTTTCATAGCTGCATGGCATTCCATTTTATGGATGGACCTTATTTATTTATTCTCTGATTGATAGATATTTCAATTGTTTCACAAGTCTTGCGATTATAAACATGCTGCAATGAAAACTCTATACACAGCTCATATCACATGTGGGCACATTTATCTGTATGGCAAATTCACAAAAATCAGTGTTTATACACATTTGATATTTTTATGTACATTGCCAAACTGCCCTCAATCGTCAACTGCCTTAATTTACCCAAAATTCTCACCAACATGTATTACATAAGTTTTGGATTTTTGACAGTCTTATGGATAAAAACAGTATTGTAAGATCGTAAATCTGAGTAAGGCTGAAATTTTTTTTAATGCTTTAAGAAGAATTTTGTATCTCCTTTTATGTGAACTGTATTTTTCTATCTTTTGCCAATTTTTCTACTCATTGTTAGCTTTTTTCTGTCCAGTTTCTGGATTCATACATCCTACCCGCTCTGTCTGCTCTA